CCCTTGTCGCGAGGCAGTTGCCTCAAGGACGCACCCGGCGGCAAGGCCGGTAGTCCTGCACATTTTCACGTGCCCCTATCACCCTCCCCGCCCACCCCCCCGTTCCCATCCCTCCCTCCCTCCCACCTCCTCTTCCTCCTCATTCCCGTCGAGATCTTTACCTCGAGGTCTTCACTTCGAGGTTTCTATCTCGGGATTTTCACCAACCTCAAGGTGTTTTCCTTGTGGCAACTGTGTTCCAATTGGGACAATCTGGTGAAGCGCGGTCCCATTTTTTCCCCGAGTGCATCTTAGGCCCTCCCCGCGTGCCTGGGCGACAGTGGCGTGGGATCTAATGGCCCCCACCTGCCGGCCAAGCACGGCTCTCCCCAGGGAGGTCGTGTTGCGACCGACGTCCATTACCAGAGCGGTAATGCTCGGGTATGCAGGTGGCCACATCCAGCTAGCTCCAGCTGGCACCCCGCCTGTTTTGCTTTGGGGGGCCCGTTTCGGCGGCCGCTTGACGGCCCCAGTGCCGTTGCGAGCGCGGCAGCCCTCGACATGGTCGGATTTCGCTATTTCGACAGGCCCGGCCGTGCCCTCCTGTGGGAGGTCAACAGCCGATTCTCGGCGCCGCCATTCTGGTCCCAAACCAACGTCGGAGGCTTCGACCTCCAGGACACAGCTGCCGCACGCTCTGATTCTAGCCGTTGCGCCCGGTGGGCCGGACAAATCGTGCCCCCCCCTTCAGGCATCCTCATTACAATGCTTAGCTGGACAGCTCACCAGTGCACTGGCTAGGGGTAGCAAGCCACCCTGACCTTGTAGCACCCGGTGAGCTTCCACAGGACCTCCCTACATGGCTAGGGAGTCAGCGTCGGACGATATTCTGTGGGATGCCAGCTCATCCTCCGACCAGGCGATGTGACACGCTTCACGCCTCATCATTTGCATGATAGGCGGCGACGTCACCTGTCGCGAAGCCCCCACAGCCTAGCCGCATGCGTCGAACAGGTGACTGTCTTTGGCATGTCGACCACACGCACCGTCCACCATTACACGGTGCCTTCAACGGTCCCCGCACAGGCTCTGGGACCACAAGGGTTGCCACCCCAACCCTCACGAGCACCGCTTCAGGATGGGAGAGCCCATGTGCCCCATGCGACTGACAGGGTCATGCCTACCCTCATCAGCGCTACACGATCGCGATCCCTCCTCCCGTGGAGCAGGCCCACATGGCGCCACCAGGGTAGCAAGCCGTCTGACGTTATTCTGGCGGAGTCCAGCGTCTGACGTTATTCTGGGGGATTAGCGTCTGACTCTATTCTGGGGGATGCCAGCCCATCCCCTGGCCAGGCGGTGTGACACGCTTCACGCCCTCTCACTGGCATGGTATGGCGGCGATAGGAGCTATCGTGAAGCTCCCCCGCCACACCTAACGGTGCCTCGAACGGTCCCCGCACAGGCTCTGGGACCAGAAGGTTGGCGTCACAACCTTCACGAGCACCGTTTTCAAGGATGGGAGAGCCTGCGTGCCCCACCCGATCTGAAAGGGTTATGCCTACCCTCAAGGGCATTAGCGCTACACTACGATCCTCCTCCTCCTCCTCCTCCTCCTCCTCTTCTGGTTGAAGAGAATGGGCGGGGGCGCCAGCGAGCAGGCCCGCGCGCCTTCCTCGGCTGCCTCAAGGGTCCTCTCAAGATATCGCGCGCGCCCGTCTGCGGGCGGGCGCCCGCGACGTCGGCGCGAGGCCGCGCTCTCCCGGGGGCGGCGGCAAAGCCCGAGGCGGCGGTTTGCCACCAAGGATGCCTGGACAAGTGCGGCCCTGCCCACGCCTGTCCAAATGCGTCATGGACGCGGCGCATCGGGTTCGCGCCCTCTGTCGGCGATTGCGTCAATGCCGCTTTGGGGATCATGCGGCCCCAAGAAATCCACCCAGATAGGTCGGCGCACGCCTCCCAATTGAAGGGCCGGGGCCTGGCCGTCCTGAGCGCCTGTTCACCGCCTGCCCAGTACCTCTACGTGGACAGCCAGGGCGCGCAAGGGGCCAACCAGGACCTGTGCGCCGCTGGCTTCGCGGGCGCCTGTGACGCGCGCGAGCTGCGACGCGCGAGCGCGCCAGCCTCGCGAGGCGCGACGGCCCGGCGAAGAGGCCCGCGACGGAGAGCCTCGACGTCGTTGCACGCCTAATTAGGCGCAGGGGACCCGTTTCACAGCCGTTGGCCAGGCATGCCTTCAGCGGCGCGCCAGGCGTGCCAAGGGGAGAGCATGCTACGCATGGAATGAATTCAATGAACATCAATTGCAGTGGATCCGTGAGTGGATCAATCTTGATTGATGAGGCTATGATGCCTCTTTTGATTTTGAACCGGCTATGATGCCCGCTCGTGCCCACCCCGTCCCGTCTTCAGGGACTTCGCATCCTCCTATGATGGTAGGATGGGAAGACGGGCCGCCGCCCCTGGCACTGGCACCGCGGCCTCGCTTGGTGGCATCGCGCCGCAGTCCTTGCCGACCCCCGCGCGGCGGGGGCCTCGCAGGCTGCGGGGTGGCGCCGGCGCTGCCGACCTGGGCCGCGGCGGCTGCTGGCTCGGCAGACGGCGCCCGCGCCCGCGCGATCACAATCTCCGTGGACCTTCTGCGCGTGCCGGCCTGCTCGCGAGGCAGACCATCGCGGTGGTCCACCAGGGGGGCAGGTTCGCGCGGGCCCGCCTTGGCGGGCTCACCCCGCTCCGGCCGCCCGTCAAGGCCGAGCTCGGAGGTTTCCTCGGGCCTCGTGCCGCGGGCGCCCGCCTCCTGAGAGTTGCCCTGGAGCCGGGTGGTCGGCGCCAGTGGCGCCAGCAATTGCGGCCTGGGCAGCGGCCGACACGGCGGGGGCCGAAGGGCGCGGCCCGCCGCGGTCGCGCCCCCGAGGGGTGGAGGCTTCGCACATCGCCTGCTCCCGCCAGAGCGCAGGTTCGGCAGCGGGCGGGTCTGGAGAGTTTCTGATGATGGTGTCTCGAGGCGGTAGTGGGCGTTTCCGAGATGCCGCATGGGCCGTTGAAGATGGCCGCCCGGCGCGTCAAAATTCAGGACCGACGGAGATTGGTCGATCACATCATTGTGAAAGGGGACCGCCTGTTGTGGGACGGCCCGTACCTCGCGTTCGTGATCGGTTGTTCCAGCAGCTCCGTTTCGTCCCCTGGAGGCTCGACTATTGCACTTGCTGGGTTCTATCAAGCGGGCGTCGAAGCGGATCGGGGTCGACATCGCCGCACTCGGGCCCCAGCTGGGAGTAGCGCAAGAGCGCGCTAACGCGGCATCAGATCCAGAAGTAAGGACGGTGGGTTTCGACCAAAGTCGTGGTGCGACACGAGACGCGCGGCCGCCTTGCCTGCTAGATGAGCGAGCATTCGAGGGCCAGCAGCACTGTCCAGTGATTGCGCGGTACACGTCGCAGCGCGCGTCCTTGGCACCAGGGCCGTCATCTGGCAACTTCCGCCGGAAAGGGGCGTCTTATTGGCCGCGGTGGCGTGGCCGCGGCGGCGTGGCCAGGGCCGTCCGAGCTGAGACTCCAAAAGCGGTAGAGCGGGATATCCAATTCGGCGACTTGCAATTCAGCCAGGCCAGAACATGTCAGGCTCAACAGGCAGAGTCTTGAAACAGTGAGGTGAAAGGCGCCTGTCTTCCTCCGCCGTGCGCCAGCTTTGCCGTCGCTCGATGCCGCATGTCCACGGGGCCTTCAGGTCTGCCCCGGTTGTCGAGGGCACCGCCCGTCTGCGCGCCCACTTGGAACATGTCGATACCAGGCCCATTCAAATCTGCGCATGCACATACTTTACTGGGTCCATTGTACTGGATAGGGCATCTGTCTGATATGACAGTGACGCAGTCAAGACTGCGGCGTGAGTCCCTGGGCCACTTCGGCGCCCAAGAATGGACAATTTTCACAAACTAGAACCCATAGCATAGGACTATACGGCGCATCCAGGATCGCGCAAGAATTCCCTCGATTGGGGCCCAGACAGGCCGGCAAAGGACTCGGGCCTGTTCCGCGAGGATCCGAGCGCGCTGCCCATTCAACTTCGGGGGGGGGGGGGCGATGGATGTCCATCTCGGGGCCACCCAGCCCGCCCCGAGGCAACTGAAAGCGAGGTTCATCAGTATGAGAGCACAGAAGCATCGCGGACCTGGCCCCGCAAAGCCGAAAGCTTTTGCAAATAAATCTTCAGCGCGCGCGCTTCCGCGAAGAAAACGGGTTCTCTTTTTTCCCTGGCGGTCCCCTAGCAGACAGAAGCCACGGGCGATGCTTTGCACCCGAGGGTTTCGCATTACAGCGTGGGCCAGCAGATCCCCCCACCCCCAGGGCACAGAAAAGATGGAAACGCCGAGTTGTTGCCACTTGTATATACCTGTTTGTGCTCAAGTTTTTCGCAGCCCAATGCCATCCTTTATCATCATGCCCCGCTCTCCCTCTCTCTCTCACTCTCTCTCGCTCTTGTTTTGTTTCTCTCTCTCTCTCTCTTTCTCTCTCTCTCTCTCTATTCCTCTCTTTTTTCTTTGTCCGTGTTTCAGCAACCCTCTGCCAAAGACGGGTTCTAGTTAGCAAAAATATTCGTTCATTGGGCGCCGAAGTGGCCCAGGGACTCGCCGCAGTCTTCACATCGTCACCAGCATATCAGTCAGACGCCCCACCCAGCAAATAGGCCCAATAAGCATCATTATCCTCACCATCGTCCTGGCCCTCCTTCCCGGGCAGCCGCTTTTCTTACCTCAGGGCCAAATTCAAACACGACCCCCGACGAACAACCAGCCCCATGGATGTGGTCGCCGCCGCCGTGGTAGTCGTCGTCGCCGTGGTCTTTTCCGCCGTCGTCGTCGTCGTCGCCATCGTCGCCGTCGTCGTCGTCGTCGTCTTTGCCGCCGTCGTCGTCGTCGTCGCCGTCGCCGTTTTGTTTTTCGTCTTCGTCGTCATCGCCGTCGTTGTCGTTGTCGTTGTCGTCGCTGCCCTCGTCGCCCGCGACTGCGCGCGCGGGCGGAGGCCACCGCGCAGTACACCGCCGTCGCCTCGCAGCTGGCCGACCTCTCGGCCCGCGTGATGGAGGTGGAGGGCTGCGTGGAGGCGCGTCCGCGCTCGGGCCTCGAGGAGGAGGGGGAAGCGGAGGAGGAGGAGGAGGAGGAGGAGGAGGAGGAGGAGGAGGAGGAGGAGGAGGTGGAGGTGGAGGAGGTGGAGGTGGAGGAGGAGGGGGGGCAGCAGCAGCGGCAGGAAGGTTATGATGAGGCGAAGGAGGCGGACCAGGAGGAGGAGGGGGAGGAGGAGGAGGAGGAGGAGGAGGAGGAGGAGGAGGAGGAGGGGGAGGAGGAGGAGGGGGAGGAGGAGGTGGTTGAGGCTGAGGCTGAGGAGCGGGGGATGAAGAACTCGTAGGATTCGACGCCGGACGTCATGCCGGGGCCTGCGCGGCCCGTTTTGACAAGGACCTGCCCTCGAACGGCGCAGCAAACAGAACTGTCGAGATGTAGGACCAGAACGTTCAGGAATGCGTCAGGCGGGATGCCGTTTTTGAAGAGATGTCGCCCTCGGTCCGAGCAGCGGGTGAACATTCAAGCAAGTCTCGGGTTGGGAAACTGCAAGGTTTCCAGCGATAGCCGAATCTTGGAAAGGAACTGCCATCTATCCGTGTTGCTGCTGCGCACTTCAAGTTTCGTGACATCAGACCTGAGGAAGGCTCAAGCGAGAGCCGTGTATTGATAAGTAGCCACTTTCCATTCATATGGCTCTAGAAAGCTGTTGAGGACGAATGCGTGCGGCGCGAAGGCGAGTGCCACACCTTTGAAAGTCACCTCTCCTCAATCCGCGCAGCTACTGGAAGCTTTTCAGACGCATGCTCGCGGCGCTAAGGTGAGAGCCACATTGTAGAATGCATCCGCCCTTCGCCCATGCAGCTGTTGGAAATTTCTACCCTCATTCGTCTAAGAGCCTTCCCCGAAGACACAGAAGGCCAGAGGGCTTCTAAGGGTTTCTGAGAAGCCCCGCCGCCTTCCGAGAAGGCCTGCCCCCTCTCGCTTCCCCCCCTGGACGCGCCGCCGACTCGTGGCCGTACATCGTGAGGAAGTGTCTCGGGCGAAACGCCCTTACCGCCCTGCCGGCTCGGCTGGCGGTGCGACGGCGACGATGACGACGACGGCGACGACGACGACGACGACGACGACGACAATGACGCCGACGCCGACGCCGACGCCGATGCCGATGCCGACGCCGACGACAACAGCGAGGTCTCCCTGCCTATGATGGGGGCCCCCGCCTGGAGAGGCCATGGGCCACGGCGTCTGGGCGCGGCAAACAGAAGCCGCCGACGCCGCCGACGCCGACGCCGACGCCGACTCCAACGACGACGACGAGGAGGACGACGCCGACGACGACGACGACGACGACGCCGACGGTGACGACGGCGACGGCGACGATCTCGGCGACGACGACGTCGTCGTCGGTCTCCCCGGGGGGCGCTCTTCGGGCCGCGGGCCTCCCTGCACGTAGCAGGTGTGCCGAGAGAGGGCGCACAACGAGAGCAGCTTCTCGGCGCCGCCGCAGGAGCCGCGCGGGAGGGGGGGATGCCGCGCGGGCGCCCCCCACGCGGCAGGGGCCTCTCCGACGGAGGGCGAGGGGAGGAGGCCGAGGGGTACAGTGGAGACCCATGCCAAGAAGCCAAGAATCACGTTGGTTGCCTCCAGGGTGCCCTGGGTTTCGATAGGTTCGATGGTTTTGCTGTGGAAAGCGTGACGTCCCCACGCCAAACATCAATGGACGTCCTCGGGTTTCAGGGCTGGGTTTCTTGTGGAAGGTTTCTTGTGGTCGAGCCCCTACTGTAGCAGGCGTAGGAGCAGGAACCGGTTGCGCAGTGCAAGTGGAGGAGGCCGAGGGGGAAGAGGAGGAGGAAGGAGGCCTAGCAGGCAGGAAACGAGGATGGGGAGAGCAGGGGCACACTGAGGACGAGAAGGATGAGCAAGCGACCATTACCCGTCAAGATACTGTGGACAATTATGAGGAGCAGGGGGAGGACAGGGAGAAGGCCGAGGCCGAGGCCAACGGTCAGGAGTGTAGGAGGCCGAGGAGGAGCAAGAGGAGAAGTATAACCGACTGTCACGGGAATGAGGAGAGGCTGGGGGAGGGTAAAAGGGACGAGGAAGAGAAGGAGGAGGAGGAGGAGGAGGAGGAGGAGCAGAGGCAGGAAGGTTATGATGAGGCGAAGAAGACGGACCAGGAGGAGGAGGAGGAGGAGGAGAAGGACCAGGAGGAGGAGGAGGAGGAGGAGGAGGAGGAGGAGGAGGACCAGGAGGAGGAGGAGGAGGAGGAGGAGGAGGAGGAGGAGGAGGAGGAGTATTTGGTCGCAGGGAGCGACCGAGATGAGGAGGAGGAGGCGGAGGAGGAGGACGACGACGCTGACGACGACGACGACGGTGACGACGCCGACGACGTCGACAACGACGACGATGACGGAGACGCCGACAAGGACGACGACGACGATGACAGCGGCGACGGCAACGGGGATGGCGACGGCGTCGGTGTACGAGTCGATGGTCTTCAGCTGCTACGGCGGCCTCGAAAAAATAGGTCAGGGTAGGGTAGGGTAGGGTAGAGTAGGGCACAGGAGATCAGAGTAGAGTAGGGTAGATGGTATAATGAAGTCGGGCATTTATAAAGTGCAGCTGGGTACAGTGGGGGCGCGCATCAAGAAACGGGATGTCTTGCCCGTGCGTCGCGCACGAGGGCGCGCCGATTCCTGTCCGTGGCCAAGGTTTCGTCCTTGCTTCCGCCGACGCCTTTCTTGCAAGGGCGCGCGGGATCTGGGGCGCGGCCGTTGGGCCCCGCCCATGCGTTGCACGCGTGGGCGCGCAGATTTCGGGGCACGTCCATTGCGTTTCCGACGGGGGCCAGGCAGGGTCCAACCGCTACAGCGCCCCTAGGGTTTCTTGGGCAGCGCGGCCCCTGGCCGAACAGCGCGCCGCAAGGGGCGCGCAGCGCGACTCTCGGGGCATCATGCACTTCGGTCGGTAAGCCGCTCGGCGACGACACTGTGAGATTACATGCGGCCAAGGCCCCCTGGGTTTCTTTGGCGACGCAACCCCCGACAGGATGTGGCGCGGGGGGGGGGGGGGGGCGGGGAAGTTTCGCGGCCCGCCAATGCGCCCTCGGTTTCTTTGAGCCTTGGGACTGGCCGTCGGGCGTTAGCGGCGACGAGAGAATATGTTTCGGGCTACGCGGGGCGTCCAAGGATTTCTTTTGGCCACGGGAACGCTGCCGTAATCCTATGTAGGTTACACCCCAGATCGCCATGGGTTTCTTCCCAAGCCGTGCTGGCGTATTCTATGAGCGCGGGCTGCTAAGAAACTGCTCGGGCCAGGGCCCCTTGGGTTTCTCCGTGCGACGCCGTCGGTTAAGAAACCCAAGCCCTGGGCAATTGCAGTTATACTAACGCGTTTTGCGGAGCATGAGTGGGTCGGGCCGCCTTAACCGTTTGGGCTCAAGGCGTAACGGAGGGAGCGGTCCGCGCGCGTCGTGGATGTTGCCGCTGGTGCTGGGAGGGGCGGTCGACGCGACCATCGCGTACCTCCACCGGTGCCCCGCTGCGCCGGAGTGCCCCAGCTGCTCCTTGACCTGTCCTGCCTGTCCTTCTTTCACGTGCCCTCCGCCGGCCACAGTCAGCTGCCCAGCGTGCCCCGCGCTGGTCTGCCCCGCGGTGGCGGCCGAGGCGCCGCGCGCCGCTCGTGAGGGGCGCGCGGAGGCGCCGCGCTCCTGCCCTGCCTGCGCTGCTTGCGAGCAGCCGGCGGAGCCTGAGCCGTGCGACGCCTGGCGGGCCTTCTTGCGAGGGCTGCTGGGCGGCGCCGTCGGCGGCGGGCTGCTGACGCTGCTGTTCGTGAAGGTCGTGGGCCATGGAGTGGGGGTGGCTGAGGTACGTCGGGGACGACCTGGTTCACCAAAGGTGGGTTTCCGGCCGCGTGGCGCTATCGGCTTCTGAGTATGTCGGTACCACGCCGGACGGCGACACGTACATTGAGAAGTATGACGATAATGATAATGAAGATGTGGATCTGGTTCGGTGGAGCGCAGGTTGGAACGACGTCCCCAACGGCGTGAATCCTGCGCGGGTGTACCGCTTTCGGCAGGAGCCGACAGCGGCCGAGAAGCACGTCTTCCTTCGTGATGCTGAGCTACTGGCCGATCATCGCTGCCGCATCGTGGCCGCCACGATTGGTCGCCCCGACCTGCTCACGGCGCCAGGCTTCCGCGCGCTGGTGCCAGGCGGGCCAGGCGGCGCGCCCGCCGCTGCGGGAGGCGCGGCGGCTGGGCCTGCGGCGGCTGCTGGGCCTCGCCCGGGGGTGCTGCAGGGCGTGGCGCCTCAGGCGGCTGCGGCGGACGCTGGCACGCGCTGGCGGGCGGCTCAGTCTCTCGGGGACGCGCGGTACGGGGACGAGGTGCCAGGACACGTGGCGACGGCAGCTGCGGTGCGCGGGCGCGACCTCCACATCCTCGCCGACGGGACCGCCCTGTTCGTCGAGGAGGTGCCGGCGGCGGAGTTGGAGGTCTTCATGGGGCGCGCTGTGGCAGCAGACGCTCGCGTGATGCCCGTGATGCGTACGGGAGCCCGCCGCGAGGTGACGTGGGCGGTCATGGCTGCGCGCGTTCGTGAGGAGGACTTCGGGCGCGACTGGCTGGTGACGGGCCCGCGGACGACGTTCTGGTGCATCGAGTTCATCAACAATGAGGGGATGGGCATCGACGGCCATCACGATAGGTTTCGGGCGGTGGCGAAGCTCGAGCCGACGCAGTGGGGCGTGCAGGAGCACTTCCAGTGCACGCAGTACATCCGCCTGCTGTTGCTCTCAGACCAGTGCGACGGCACGAACTTGCAGGCTTGCGAGGCCGTCTTCCGCCGCATGCAGACTATCGAGTATTCGTACCTGGAGAAGGTGAGGGAGCGTGAAGGGGCCAATCAGAGCGGGAAGTTGTCGATCGAGGAGCAGACGCACTTCGCGGGCTCGACTCGGATCTCTTCTAGCTTGATGGTGTGCCCCGACTTGTTGGAGTTTGTACGCAAAGAAGTAGAGCGTGAAGCTGCCCTGGCGAAGAACCTCCGTAAGGCACCTCGGAAGCTCTGCGGAGGCTTGGAGCGCCTGGCTTCTACGGCTCCGACGAGGACGTGAAGCTGGGGAACTACAATCCCGATCTGCTCTCGCTGCCGTCCGCGGGGAGCCATGCGGTTCCGCTCGCGGACTTGCGGGGTGCAGGCGGGCGCAGGCGCGTCGCGGAGTTCGTCCGCGATAGTGCGCTACCTGCGGGACCGGCGCTGGAGAGGAGGAAGATGTGCGATGAGAGGGGTTTGACCGGCTACAAGTAGGTAAGTAGTGCCAGGTTCCCCCCGTCATTCGTCCGCCGCGCGGCGCTAGTGGGTAAGTCATCCAGATTCATGTCGTCGTTCGTCGCGGTCACCACTTCACTTGGTAAAGCACCCACATTCGGGAAGGAATGCGCGTGGGGCCCCATCGGCCCCGATTCTTTCTGGAAAACCAATGGCTTTTTGACCGGTTCTCTGGATCGGGGATTTTCGTATATCTTTTTGTTTTCGTCTTGCGATCCCGGCTCAGAGACAAAACAAAATCCAAGAGATACAATGCCAACATTTTGGAAGGAATGCGTGCGGGGCCCATCGGCCCCTGTTCCCAGTGGAAAACACATGGTTTTTAAACCAGTTCTCTGGATTGGGGATTTTTGAATATTTATTTTATTTTTTTCGTCTGCTGGTCCTGGCTTAGACCGAATCCAAGAGGTAAAAGCACGAACATGTCGAAACGAATGCGCGGCGTGGGCGCGTGGGGCCCCATTGGCCCCGATTCGTTTCAGGAGTTGTGGAGTGTTTTTGTTCGCACGGATTCGTTCAGGAATCTATTCATTTAAAGTTCGCAGGTTTGCGTAGAAGTGTTATTATGTTCTCCAGTTACTTGTTCATCCAGAAAAATAGTATTTAGAGGTTATGTTATGTGTTGTTCGTCGCTTGAGCAGGGTAGTTCACGTCGAAATGCGACTTGGTTTGTCGTTGATCGAGAACGGTGGGTATGTTTCTTGATGTCGCGTTGTTTGTCGATCACAAAGGAACTTCAGTATTCAGGAAAATCCGTTCGTTTGTCGTTTTTCCCCAGTACGTAGTTCAATATATAGAGACCCCCCTCATGATGTGCGGCGCGAGGGCGCCCTATTCCGACCCAGCTCTTCGCCAACCGCGTGTGTGGAGCGATTTTGTCTCGCGGCTTCATCGCAGCGGCCTGCTAGATTTTGCCTGCGACCGCTGCAGAGAGTCCGTGGAGTTCTTCTGCGTTCCGAAAAAGGATCAGCGATTGAGACTCGTTTGCGATTGCCGTCACAGCAACGTCTGGTTTCGCTAGCCTGATAATGTCACTCTTTGTACTGGTGAGACTCTTGGGAACCTCGAAGTCGGTGAAGGCGAGACGCTCTATATTTCGGAGGCTGACCTGTCCAGTGCATTCTACCATTTGCAGCTGCCTGTCGAGTTGCGGGATCTGTTCACCCTTAGGCGCGTCCGTGCTCGTGATATCGGCTTGATTGAGATTGGCGGGAAACCAGTGCGCGACGGGGCGTGGGTATACCCAAGACTGCGCGTGTGCCCCATGGGGTGGACTTGGGCATCGTGGTGGTGTCAACGTGTGCATGAGAGATTGGTCGAGCGGTGTGGAGGACAACCCGAAGAGAGGTTACAGGATCGTCGTGTCATTCCCTCTCTTGCGGGGGCCTGCCATCTCGAGTATGTCGACAACTTCGTGGCCATTTCGACTGTCGCCTCCAAGGTGCATCGCCTCGCGTCCGCCGTCGTGGAGGGGTTCAGGGAGGCGGGGTTGGTCGTGACCGCCGATGTCGACTCGCCCGGAGAGGATCTCGCTCGGGACCGCACCGTCTTGGGATGGGATATCAGCTGTCGTGCCGCTGTCCTGGGGCCCACCCGGGCCCGTGTCTGGAGGGCCCGCTTGTGTGTCCGTGCCGTGCTTCGTCGCGGCCGCGTCTCTGGGAAGGTCCTCGAGAGGCTTGTGGGGCACATGGGGTTCATCAGCCTGGTCCGACGGGAAAGCCTCTCGGTCTTCGACACGCTGTTCGCGTTCATCCGCCCCGTCTACTACGAGGAGGCCCCGCTGTGGCCCAGTGTCATCAACGAGCTCACGATCTGGGAGGGGATCGCGCCGCTGCTGTGGCGCAACCTGAAGGCCTCGTGGGGGCCGTCGCTGTGCGCCGTCGACGCGTCCCCGACCGGTCTGGGAGTCTGCTCGTCGCCGATCTCTGTCGAGGAGGCCCGGGGGCTTGGGAGACATTGCGAGCGGTGGCGTTTCTCTCGGGGTGCGCGTCTTCCTCCGCGGCTTCAGGCTGCCGCCGCTGCCGCCGTGTCCGACGACCCCGAGGTGCAGTGGCTGTCCGGAGTGCACGACAACGGGTCCGGAGGTCTCTGGGATGTTGATGGGGGGGCCGCCGCCTGCTGGCAGTGCCGCCGCCGTTCTGGGTTCCGGGCTCGGCGATTCTCGTGACACCGTGTTTCGTGAGGTGCCCCTGAAGCTCTTACGACGTGACTGGAAGATTGTCGGGAGGTACAAGTGGAACGTTGAGGGGGCGATGCCTATCCTTGAGGGCCGGGCTATCTTGTATGCACTCCGACACGCCCTGAGGAATGTTCAGAACTTCGGGCGGCGGATCGCGGTCCTGGGGGACGCCCTCGTCGCTGCCTGCGCAGTCTCGAAGGGGCGGTCTGATTCCAGGGCGATGCTCAAGGTCACCCAGTCCGTTGCTGCTCTCTGTCTGGCCACTGGGTGCGCGTTGCACTGCTGGTGGCTCCCCTCGGAGTGGAACGTGGCTGACGGGCCCTCGAGAGGGCTTGCAGTTCCGTCAGTGCCGCAGCCGCTGTCCCTCTCGAAGCCTCACGAGCTGGAGTGGCTTCGCTCGGCTGGGCAGCCCGCGCCCGCCCCGCGGCCCCGCCCCGCGGCAGGAGGCGATGCTGCTGCGAGCGTCGCCGTCGACCGGCTCTCAGCCGACTGGGTCGGCTTCGCGGCCCTCGGGGAGGAGCAGCCTGACGCGGGCGCCAGCCGCTTCGAGCCCGTCTTCATCGGCGGCGTTTCCTTCGCGGGCCGCTCCCAGCAGCGCGCCAGCGGCTGTGCCCCGCCGGGCGCCGCGGGCGCCGGCACGAGCACCAGCGCGGCGCGCCGGGCAGGCCCGCGTGAAGGAGGCGGCGAGGCGGCGGGCGGCCGCGACCGCGGCCGAGGGGCTGACCGTCTGCCAGACTCACTCGGTTCGCCCCGCTACGTTGCGGCTGTGCCAAGACGACTTTGCCTCGTTCAAGCGCTGGCTGAATCGCCAGGGCCGCCCGATGCCCGAGGGCGAGCTGGACACCGACCAGACCCTCTCCCAGTACCTGGACGAGATGTACCTCGACGACGCGCACGTCAGCTTGGGGCAGCGGATGCTCGCCGCTGCGCTGTTCCACCAGTCGGCCCTGAGCAAGGCGGGCGGCGCGCGGATGGCGCGCAGCCGCCGCGCGCTCAAGGGCTGGCAGCGGCTGGCGCCTGCAGGCTCCAGGCTCGGGGTGCCGTACGAGGTGATGTGCATGATCGTGATGTGGATGTGGCTGCGCGGCCTGTGGGAGGAGGGGCTCGTGACCTGGTGGCTGACGTTCGAGATGTACTATCGCCCGAACGAGCCGTTCACCCTCCGCGCGCGGGACCTCGTGCCCCCGGTGGCGGGCTCGCGGGCCGGCGGCAGCTGGTCGCTGACGCTGCATGCCCGCGAGCACGGGGTGGCGTCAAAGACCCAGGAGTTCGACCAGGCGCAGCTCCTGGACCTGCACCGGCAGGCGGCTCTCGGCCCGGCGCTCGGCGCCATGCTGGAGGCGCGGTTCGGACCGCAGTGGCGCCAGGCGGTGCTGAAGCGGCCTGCGGGGGCTGCTGCCGCCCCGCCCCTGTTCACGATCAGCAGCGCCCAGGCGGGGCAGGCGTTCGACAGGGCGGTGCAGGCGCTGGGGCTTCGGCGCGTGGGCGTGGTCTGCCGCTACCAGCTGCGCCACGGCGGCGCAAGCCACGACGCGGCGACCGGCGCGAGGACGCTGGATCAGATCCGCCATCGCGGCCGCTGGCGCGCCCACAGCAGCCTCCGCCGCTACGAGAAAGGGGCGAGGCTCGGCGAGGTGCTCGAGCGCCTGACCACCCCGCTCCGTGCCCACGCGCTGCGCTGCGCCGACTTGCTCGCCGACGTTGCGGCCGGGTGACGCCCGCCATGCGCGAGCCCCTGAGGGTCCCCGTCTTCGTGGAGATCTTCTCTGGCTCAGGCAGGCTGGGGCGTGCTGCTGCGCATGAAGGGCTGCAGGTGCTCTGGTGGGACATCTCGTTCGGCGACGCCTATGACCTGACGCTCGGCAAGAGTCAGAATCTGCTGATGGGCTGGCTCGCTGGAGGCCTCATCATCGGGTTTCACGTCGCGCTGCCATGCCAGACCTACTCCCGCATTCGCGATCGAGGAGGCGGGCCGCCGCCGCTGAGGAGTGACGCCTGGCCGTGGGGGCTTCCGAACCTCTCGGCCGCCTTGCAGCGCAAAGTGACGCTTGCCAATAATCTCACTCGCTTCGCATGCCGCTTGTGTCGTGAGGCCATCCTTCGTCGGATCCCCTGGTCTTTGGAGAATCCGCGAACCTCGCGCCTGTGGCTGTGTAATTCAATCGCTGCCCTTACGAAACGGAAGAATGTCAGTAGTGTGTACACTGATTTCTGCATGTGGGCGGGACCTTTTAAAACATCCACCACGTTTGTATCGTACCTCGTCGATCTCTCCGGGCTCGCCACTCGCAGGTGCCTCGGTAGCCGCAGAATGTGTGCCCGCACTGGCGAGCCGCACCAGCAGTTGGTCGGCAAGCGTCAGGACGGTGTGTTTTGGACTAAAGTTGCCGAACCATATCCAGCCCCGCTTTGCAGTTTCATCGCCAAACGGTTCTGGGACATAATTGCTGCGCGAACCGCTCAGAAATTTGACAGGTTCCTGTCTGTTGCTTAAGTCCCGGCGGAGCCAGTTGGCACTCGTGCAAGTATGGCATTTTCTAGCTTGACGGTGCTGTCTTGGCAGTGCGTGTGGCCGAAGCCACACTCTGGTGCGGAAGGTATTGTGACTCGTTGCTTGCCTGCCCACTCGCTCCGGTCGGTGGCGCCACTGTATGTAAAAACACATCGTCGTCTGGCCTCGAACGGAAGCCTGAGCAATTGCAGTTATACTAACGCGTTTTGCGGAGCATGAGTGGGTCGGGCCGCCTTAACCGTTTGGGCTCAAGGCGCCCACCACGCCCGCCCATTTTTAGCCTTGAGCAGTGCGTGTGGCCGAAGCCACACTCTGGTGCGGAAGGTATTGTGACTCGTTGCTTGCCTGCCCACTCGCTCCGGTCGGTGGCGCCACTGTATGTAAAAAACACATCGTCGTCTGGCCTCGAACGGAAGCCTGAGCAAGACACTTTGCGGCTTTTCAGGGTTCGGTCTCTTGCGGGGGTTTCTTGTGGCCGCGCCCCCCCCTGTGGAGTAGAGTAGAGTAGAGTCGAGTAGAGTAGAGTAGAGTAGAGTAGAGTAGAGGACTAGGAGTAGAGTGGAGTAGAGCAGGGTAGGTGCAGATATAGTGTAGTGTAGAGTAGAGTAGAGTGGGACAGCGGAGTACACTAGAGTATGATAGTGTAACGTGAGAACAGAGTAAAGTAGGAGTAGCAGTAGAGTAAAGTAGAGAAGGAGTAGGAGTAGGAGTGGAGTATAGTATGATAGAGTGGAGCAGGTTCGGATAGGGTAGGGTAGAGTAGAATAGAACGGAGCAGAGCATAGTAAACAAGAGTAGGGTAAGTGGTAGAGTAGAGTCGGGTATAATTGGGTACAGTGGAATAGGGTAGAGTGGAGTAGAGTCCATTCTAGTCCAGTCCAGTCCAGTCTGCTCCTGTCGAGTCTACTCCGGTCTACTCCAGTACACTTTATGTCAGCCTTCTGACCTATTTGGAATCAGCGCTGGCTGACTTGTTTGCGCGTTTTGTATGTTGCGGGTTTAGTCGTCTGTTGTCCGTCATCTTCCTTGTTGTCGTCCTTGCAATTCTCAGGGGGGGGGTCCGGTTCGAACCCCCACTCCCCTGCAATTCGGGGGGGGTGGGCAGGGGGGCCCTCCGGTCCGAACCTTTCCCCCGTTGCAAGTCACGGGGGCTGGGGTCCCCCCTCCCGGTTCGAACCACCCCCCCCCCCCCAGGACAACGAGGGAGGCCCCCCCTGTTCCAACCCCCTTCCCTGGAGCGGGGCGAGGGAGGAGGAGGAGGAGGAGGAGGAGGAGGAGGAGGAGGAGGAGGAGGAGGAGGAGAGGAGGAGGAGGAGGGGGAGGAGGAAGGAGGAGGAGGAGGAGGAGCAGGAGGGAGAGGAGGGGGGGTGGGCTGGTTAGAGAGGCCGATGTCCAGCCCCCCCCCCCCGTTCTCCGGGCGCGCTAGGTGCTGTTGCCCGTGCGTTCGTGGCCCCCCTTGCCGCCCCCCGCCCCGCTGGTTCCTGCGTGCTCGAACACTGTTCCAAGGCAGGCGTCCACGGAACGCGCCCTCTCGTGCATGAGTCCATGTGCGGGTGAAGTGCCCTCCTCCCCCCGGCCTTCCACCTGCAGATGTCCCTCGTCCCTCCTCATCTGCCTCCCCCGCCTCTTCCTGCTCCTCTTCTCGGCCTCGTCTTTTCTCCTTTCTTGCTCCCTCCGTTTCTCTCCCTCCCCCCATTCCTTGCTGCTCCTCCTCCTTCCCTTCTGACTCTCAAGCCCTGCTCCTTCTCCCTCAATTCCTCGTGTTCCCTGTGCTCGTAGCCGTTTTGTGGCTCAATACGTTGTTACTTCCCATGGCGCTGCCGCACATCTCCGTCCCCATGCTTGGGAAAGCGGGGCTCCGGGAAGAAACCAGCACGCAAGCCTCTCAGTATGTTAGTGCTCAGGGGGCACGCAGGGCTTCGGCACGCATCCAGCCGAACGTGGGGGTCCGTCTAAGGGCCCTGGGTCGTCTTGGGTTCCTCGTGAGGCTTTCTCAGAGCCCTGCCGCCTGGGGTGGGAGATCTCGGGTCGAAGGAAAAACCTCTTGGGGCCGTCTTGGAGGACAGCGGGGCCTCAGCTGTGAAGCTATATTTGGGGTGTCCCTTGGGGCGCCGAGGGCGTTCTTCGGAGCTGTTTGGGTCTTTTCGGAGGCATCCGAGCCCATTTCTGAAGCCATCTGAGGGTCAATTCAATAAGGAATGCCAGAAATATTTGCATTGATGTCTGTCAGCGTAGGCTCAAAAGAGTAAGTTGCTTAGAACTCTGGACCTGTGAACTAGTGGAACCGGCGATGTGGCGCAACACGTGTAGTGCAATCAATATTTCCGACTTCGTAGCTTGTCAATTTCACTGCTCGCGCAAGTTGTAGTGCAAAGCACATGCGGCCGCGCTTGTGGTGACTGTTCGGCCTTGGCTGGCGCATTTCTGCGGACGCGCTGGCGCGCGCAAGCTCGCGCCCAGAGCGGCCAGTTGGTTTGCCACAGCTGATGCGGCCGCGATGACGCTTGCCGATGGCAACTTCCCAGCGCGTCTCAGAGGCCGCGCTGGCGCGCGGGCACTTTGGTGCGGGTCGATGACTCGGGCGTGGGCGATATCATGATGACGTTGACAAAGGCGACAACGATGATAATAGCGGCGACGGTGCTAGCAATGGTGACGATGACGGCGGCAAGGCCAATGACGGCGCCGATGCTGGTGACGACGATGCCGATGATGTCCATGCGTCGGTGGTGAAGGTAATTGACTGCTGATGGCGGCAATGCCTGCGATTGGCGATGACGGTTCCGGCGGTGATGCGATGGCGTTGATGCGGGCGATGGTGGGGAAGCGCGCGCGCGGAAATCCAAGGCGCCAGGCTGCTTTTCTGCTGAGCATCACGATTGCTCATATGTTTGTGGAAAGGTGTTTTTGATATGCGCTGGACACCCATGATTTTGGAAGGATTTTGTCGCGTGCCTGTGGCCCGTGTGGTATGATGTGATGCGGATTCGCGCGTCGCTCGCATGCTAGATCAATTCTTGACGCTTCGCGTATCCCCACCAGCGAGGTCTCGCACACTCCCGTCCCTGCATCTACTCCAGATTGGATATGGCCGCTCCGACACGGCGCAGAGCCCCACCAGCCTGCGCGACCTAGTCATGCGAGCCCCCGCAGTCCACGGACCCCAGGCTATCGGCACCACCCTACCAGCTCACAAGCTGTCTGACGGAAGGTTCGGGCTCGACTCGCACCGCACGGACATTTACTCCGCCAAATGCGACACCTGCCCAGCAGGATCGCCCCTGCTAGAGTGGTCGGTAACCAGCCCGGCACTAGGCTGCTTTCTGTGGAGCCCAGAACCCGAGGCACCCACCGTCGCCGAGACAGGGCTACTGCCCTGGGACCTCATGCCCACCCTCTGGACCCAGCAGCAGTGGAACGCAGGCTGGGCCTGCAGACGGTGCATCATCCACATTTGGAACGTGGCCCCAGGCACGCTCGACCGCATACCGGACCAGCACCCCTCCAGCGTATACCCCACGGCACCAGCCAAGCGGGCAGCGGCAACAAAAGTGCAGACGGAGTGCCACGACATCAGCGTCTACATCACCCCGGACTGTGTCAATGCTGCCGCCAAGGATTCGTACACAAGGCAACTAGTCGCAGACGGAGAGCCGACCCGCCCCATCAGCGCTGACCACGACAACACAGTCGGGGAGAGCAACGTGTCAGGAAACGCCGCACGGGACATTCAATCCCTGTTCTCCGACATTTCCCCGCCAGCGGGGCCCGCCCTACCAACCCACTCCACCTCCAGGCTCACAGGAAAGGAATCTGACAGTGCCATACGCTCCTTGGTCAAGTACCTGCTAGAGTGGAACCCTACCATTTACGAGCAATGGACGGAGTACGTGGTGCAA